TATATATTTATATATATATATGCATTTCATTTTTTCCAATATTCATTTGCCTTTGTCTCGCTTTTAATTTTGGGTTCTGCTCTTATTTCCTAATCTGTTTATTATTGCTTCCACTATTTATTTTGATAAGTAGCAATTTTCTACAGCTGCAGTCTGTTTGCATATTTTGAATTTGTTCTACTTTTCAGCATTCATTAAACAATTTTCTTTCATTTTTTGTTCTTTTTCCTAAAATTTTACTGTCTTTAAGCGGTTTTTATTTCAATTTTTTTTGTTCTGGTTCTGAGTGTAGCATATACATATATAGAAGTCCCTTAGTTTACATCAAATATGTTTTTATCTTAAATGTCTTCTAACTCCTTCCTTTCTTTGTAGAACTAAAGATAAGGTGGATTTCTAAAAATTATTTAAAGACAACTTGCACTATAAAATATCAAGCATACAATAAAGTAAAAATTATAAACTTGATTTAGTCGATCTACAAAAGGAGTAACTTTTTGGGATATAATTTTTTCACTCAATAATATAATTAACTTACGGCAGCTAGTTTTAATTTTAGAACACATTACAGATAGAGATATCCAATGATTGCAGAAATTCGGATATTCGAAATTTGAAGAATAAAAAAATTTTAAACGATCCCAATTCCTTCCTTTTTCTATTAGGTTTATATGTTACGAAAAAATTAGATCCAATTTAGGGTTATTGTTGTTTCGCATATAATATGAGACTTCTTTGAGGTTGGCTTTATCGTTAAACGGTAGTTTACAAACCACATAATTTGAAAGCTTTAACAACCCTAACGTTAGTTTTTTTCGATTTTCACATACAAATATTCTAAAAATTTATAAAGATCAAAATATTGTTTCCTTTTTTATTATATGTAAATATGTATTAGGCATATTTTCAACAGTAAACTTCTCTAAAAGATATACCTACTCTATATTACATATTCTGATTCTTTTGCTTACTGATATTATGTTGCCTAATCTAGTTTATTTATTTACAGGTACTGTAAAAGCCACCAATATGAAAAAGAAATGCTTTACTTGGTATGTATGTAATATACTAAGGTTATTTTTCTTGAATAAGTTTCAAATTTTTGAAGACAATTATTTAGAGCGCACTAACGTATTTAAGTTCAATTGAAAAAGAACTATAAATCTCAATACCTGGGTATCATTATTTCTGGAATATCTTTTACAAGATAAATTGCCTTTGTCTGTATGCAGTTTTCCCTAAATATCTCTTTTAGTTTTAAGGCTTAGATTTTAAAACCTTTTTATAATCTGATAACGCTTAACGGAATATCAATGTAAACTTTACCTATATGAAACAGCTTTAAAAGTAAGTAAATGTAATAATTGTTTGTGTTTGCAGTTCTCTCGAAATACCTCTCATAGATTTAAGTCTTAAATTTTAAAACATATTTATAATCTGATATCGCTTATCAGTGTAAATATTTGTATGAAAGAGCTTTACAAAAAAAATTTAATTTATATGAAAAAACTATTGGCGATAGCTTTAATATCATATTTTCTACATTGTAATAATTCAGTGGGATTGTTTAGAGCAGGTGTTACCATTTTTTTTTGCTACGGAACCCTTTCGGATCACCTTTTTTTGATGGAACCCCATCTCAATAAAAAAGTAAAATGATGATAGTTTTATGTCTGACTCCCGGCAGCTTAGTGCATACATGTTCAAATTGAATTTTGACTTCCAAATATTTATTGCACGAATATATTTAATGGGCACGTTTTTGCTTATGATAGCACTAAAATTTGATTTAATGTCCGACAATCGAATTCGAATATCCGGAGTAATACCCAGTCTAGTTTGAATTTGTTCTTAGTTTTAAGCGTAATCTGAAAAGGTCGTCTATAATCTGAAGCCGAAATAAATAGAACTATGATAACATTCTCAACGACTGTAGGGTGTTCATCATTAAGTATGATCTAAAGATCATTAAAATTTAAATCAGCTATTTCGAATTTTTGATTTAAGGACCATGAATTCTTAATATCAATCTAGTTCTCATACTCCGGCATAGTTAAAATTGATTATTTAGTTTGATTTGCGAATGGATTCCGTACTCACAATCATTGACTATCCTGTGACAGAATTTTATATATTTTTATTAGGGCAAAAAACGTCATATCTTGTTGAATCCTTGTGATCCCTCCACGGAACACCATATGGGAACAGCTGGTTTAAAAAATGAGTTGAATTTAAATAAAAATTACAAAAGGTGATTTACAAATTTGGTGAAGGCGCTTGGCGTATGTAAATACATATATTACGAATATGCGCTTTATATTATTTAAGATTAATTGTTTGTATACTATCCAAGGTTTTAAAAAGAACTTAATGCTAACAACATACAGTAGTGTAAATAATGATTATGATGTCTAGTCCTGTCTACAGTCCTGCAAGAGCCTTTATCCCCTTTTGTCTGTTTTCGTATGGACTAATGAAAGTATATGAAAGATGGAAAGTACATTCGAAATTTTTTTGAAAATTAGTTTGGAAGGTGAAAGTACCTACCAAGGATCTGAATTAATTTGAGAATTTTAAATATTGATTAAAAAGTTGAGGATTACAAATTAGAAATTCCTCGCCCCCAGCATAACTGGTCGTCAGCAAAATCAGTTAATAAGATCTAGAAAACAATCAACCGTGATTTCCAAAATGGCCGTTTCAGTTTCGACGCTTTCTGTTTTTTTGGTTTATATGGAAACTGTGTGTAACAGACCGGAGTGTTCCGCCCCTCGGTGGTGGTTGGTGGCGCTTTCGGAGGACACACAGTTTCAGATCAACGTCACAGATGTTACTTGTGGCAGGGCGCCAATCGCGGGGGTGGCAAAGAGCCGGCGCCCGGAGTTCTCAGTCCGGATATTCCGGAATCCAAACGTACCTCAAGCTCAAGCTTTGCGTGGCTCGCCCGATACTGCTGCTTCTTGTGGTAAGTTCAATCCTTTTAAATAGATATTTTATTTTCCACTTTGTTTTCTTAGCTATTTTTCCGTCAATTATTTCACAGACTGAATTTTTTCAAAAAGGCACAAATTAAGGTGAAAATTATATAATTTACCGAAAGATTTCCTTTTTAATCAGCAAATAAATTACGGGTTTTAAAACCATTGGCAAAAAGAAAATTAGAAATATAGAAATTCATATCTTAACTGCTGCCACCTTTATATACAGGCACCACTTTCAAACATATAAAATTTCCGCATATATATCTAGAAACATTATTCAGTCAAGGAATTAGCTTCGAGTGATTTTCCTTGTAACATACCTGAAAATGTTTATTAAACACGTTAATAAATAGTTAGCTTTTATAGAAATATCTGTTTTTACACAGAATCTTTAATTTTACTTTTTAACAAAATATTCTTATAAAATGATCAAGAGCCTAAAACATTTCAATTTACATATTCATTACACTAAAATAAGACATTGTGATCATTCATAAATGGGTAGTAAAATGAGTCACCCTGTATATTCCATTTACTTGATGCAATGTGTGACTAGTATATAATCAATTTTTTTCAATGAACTGCGAAGAAGTCTTAATAAAAATTTTAATTATAATTGATGTACCTAAGTCAATTTACAGCAGGCAAATTCTAGCATTTCTTATTGATAAAGAATAAATTTATAAACCTAATAACTCAATGTCACCTAATAAATTTGTAATTGTTATCAAAAGTTCCAAAATTACAATTTCGTATAGATTCAGTAGGTATCTCCAAAATTACTTATTCTTATTAACACGAGGATATTTAGCTTATTACAATCGAGGTTATACATATTTCACTTCAAATATTATTAGCGCAATAAAGAAGTACAAAGTAAAAGCAATCAGTATAATTTTGATCATTAAATGGTGCTCTAAAAGTACGTCGCTTATAATGTAGATGGTGTTTTTACTTCGTTTGCAATGTAATTTCTAAAATTACTTACGTAATTGTATTAATTTCAGGTGAGAAGCAGCAGCTAAAATGATCGTAGGAAGTGTTTTTATGTGACTGTTACTATTCTAACTATAAAAATGCGGGGAGTTAGTGCAATTGGAGGGGCAATAAAGTCCTTACGATCTGGAGACATTGGGGCTCGTTGGTGAGTTTTTTTTTAGATACTTTAAATTTCATTTGCAGCTTATATAGGTACATGAGAAAGAAAAGGAAAATCAATTTTCACAATTGCTGAATTCTTATTAGGTATATCAGTTTCTGGGCCATATATGTATATAAATTCAGTTGCGTCTAAATACTTACCTAATCGGGTCTAAAAGGACACATTAAAGGAAATGGTAGTGGATGTATTTTATTGTAATTTTATTCGAATATTAAATTTTCATTTCAAACATACTCGGTCCTATACAAATCTCACTAAAAAAAATCGGTTGTCTGTAAAGTCGGTTTACTGACGATAGTTGAACGTGACAACGTCATAAGAAAATACTGATGGAATTGTTTCATTTTTCAAAAGAAAGTTTTAATTTTATTTGTTTGATAGATATTTTGTATGGATATAGAGAAGGAGGTAAATGGAAATGTATTATTGTATAGCAGCTGTCCACGCGGACGCATCGCTCACTCAAGTAGGAGAGAGACAGATGTCGAACGCTGCCGAACGCGGAGGCCGATTGTGCCTCTTTGTCGCTCGTTCCGCGCTCTCGCTTGCACTTCAAGCCTTAAATGGAACGCCTCAGAGCGAGGTAACGCCGCATGAGTCATGTTTTTTCGTGCGTGCAGCAGGGGCTCCATCGAATTATAAGACGTTGTCACGTCAATAATTATATAGTTTATTTTGAAGAATACAAAAAAAAATAATGAATCTTAAAAAAAGAAGTAATTCTTTTAAATCAATTTTTTCAGTCTGAAAGTAATATAACTAACTATTTGAAGGGTAAAGGTTGAGGATCTTCAGCAAAACATTTCAAATGACAAAGCTTCTGTTTTGACACACGCAAACATATCGTACATGTACTTACTGTTGGTTCATTATGCAATACAAATAGATTGTCGCTGATCTAATCGCATCAAAAGTTTGGAAACGATTGTCTTTTCGTCATTGGTTTGATTAGATATTCTTAGATCCGATCTTGAAACAGGAGAAAATAGGGTACAGTATATTTAGGTTTACGCTAACTGAGTTTAAAATTGTGGAGAACGATTTCTTACCAATAACCCTTCTTCCATTCGTAGTGGTCCTGTGATTATCCAGCTAAAGGTTTATCAAACGTCGACTTTATAGCTTGATTAGAACCCATGGAAAAGAAGCCTTTTCAGTGAAAAACTACGGAAATTTTTCAAATTTATCTTACATAGAAGTGCGAAATTTATTATTATAAGGTCGTCAATCCTAAGACACGCACCTCCACTCTTTTCTGTCCTGAGCTGACATTCGCATTTCCCTAACACTAGAACAACCCACATCCTTAACTATTTGTGAACAGTAATCTAGGTAGGTCTACCTCTACTCTTCTTAACTCCTGTTTCTTCTTCTAATATGTCTCTAACTAGCCGTTCATGCCTGAGAAAGCGCCCTACCAACTTATGTCGTCTATTTGTTGTTAACATCCATAGAGGCCTGTGTTCTCCTATTCATTCTAATACAATCTTCCAATCTTCAATTTTCAACCCAAACGTCAGAAACTGAGTCTACTGATGATATTTTCAAATTTAATGAGCAATGCTGGAATGAACACCAAAATTTTGTTAATCTCCAATGTACATTGTATGTAAAAACACACCAGATCATTTGATTTTTTTTAATATAGTGAATTAGATAATCTAAAGAGAAATAAGGTATTAATCAGTATTCTGTCGAAATTATTAGTTCTCATCAGTGCGCCTTTATACATCTTCTATCATCTACCAAACACAGGTTGCATGTATCATATATTAAACCAAAAGTCTTTGCATTGTATATTCAAAGACTGCAGGACGACCAGAGGAAAGGACGATGAGTGCGTAACTAAATTGTACGTCTTAGAAAAAGTACCCATTCTACGGAACACGTCAGGGGGGAGGGGTTTTTTGAAAAATATCACACTTGGTCAAAGGGCGTGGAGGACTTAGGTTTTCGTCAATACCCTCTAAGGAAAACCCGCGCTCTTACGTGCTACATTCAAAACGCTCTATAATAGTTAAAACCATATTTATGAGTTACTACGGGAAAACTAGAGTGGGAGGGGTGTTTTGGCATACACTATGGGAGATCACTGAGGGGATGAGGGAGTAAAAAGTTGTAAAAAATGGGTAACGCAGTACGGATACGCGCCCTTATCGATATCTTGTGTAAACTTATATTATCGTAAATTGTATTACATGAAAAGTTTTTGTGTTAAGTAATGTCGTTGTTTGCTTTCTACTCTATGGGGGCTCGTGTTCAATTCCCGACCGATGCAATACTTCTCCTTTTTCGACCACGGACGGTAGTCTAATTAGTACTTTAGAAAAGAGTTTTAGTAGATGCAAACTTACAGTCCATAATAAGAATTGATATAAAATAAGTATCGCCTTTTTTTGAATTGTGTGAAGTACTAAGGTTGGGTACATTATCGTAGCTGCGTATCGTCTCGACGCCGCGCCGCGCCGCGCCGTTTTACTGCGGCTCATCCGCTTTACTGTTCGCTGGCTCCATCCGATAGCGGCTTTAATCCGAGATTTATGTTATTTCACGATTTCTCTTCCCCTATCTTGGGCATTGGCTTACTTGATTGTATGCCAAAAAAATAATTTTATAAGGTTCGTTCCGTTGAAACAAATTTGTTACGAATCTACATAAAAAAGAAATATATACCTAGTAGTGCGAGTGGTGTATATTATGTCTTAGAACTTCGAGTCTACACAACATTGGTAAAATTGAACCAAATATTTGTTTAGTCAATAAAAATTATTCTACAGTCAACAAACGTTTCGTTGATTATAGAATTTTAAGAAACAGATTTTTTTGTTGTCCCATCATCATCATAAGGTCGTCAGTCCTAAGACTTATTGGACACGCACCTCCACTCTTTCCTATCGTGAGCTAGTCTTCGCATTTCCCTAAATTAGAACATCCCACACATCCTTAAATATTTACGAACAATAATCTAATCTAAGTCTACCTCTACCCCTCATAACTCCCGTTTCTGCCACTAATATGCCTCTGACTTGCCCTTCATGCCTAAGAAGGTATCTACTAACCTATCTCTCCTATTTCTTATTGACTTCCTCTTTTGTTGTACCGGGAACTTAAAATTAATTTAATTTTCTATAATTGAAAAAATCTTAGTTACTTAATAATTTCTGTTGAATATTATTATAATTTTTCTTCTTGTGTTAGGCTAATAAAATCGCCTGTTAAATCCTGATGTTCGTTAAAATTCTAATCCTTGTTATTTTTATTAGTATATCTGCTCATAAAATGAAGACCAATCAATATTCTTAATAAAGACATCGTCCACGTTAAGAAATATAGGGTCGTAAAAACAAGCGCTACGCTTATTTTCAGTTAGTAATGTTCGGGAGTAGTTTGTCTGTTGGAGCCAGATTGGGGAACTGCGGCTGTTAACAGTAAACGAGTGCATATAAGGAAGATAAAGTGCCATGAAATAAAATAGGAGAATGACAAAACGCTTTTTATGATTTATCATTTGTGGGGACGCAAGCGACCTTCTTTCTGTTCTGAGTTAAGACGTTTTGGCTTCGGATGTAATGCAATCCATTATACATTTTCCTATAGAAATAGAGTACATCATCATCTTAACACGACTGCAGCAAAGTGGTCAGCCGATTAAAAGGTTTACTGCATAGTAAAGAGCAGTAAGTCGTTACAATAGAATCCTGAACTATTTGGCTTTCATTTTTGGAACTTCCTACAATAGAATTCCTTAAACATTTGAAATTTCTTAGAAATTACTCGCAACATCTAATACTAAATCATAATGTTGGCATAGTTGCAGTTTAAAAAATGCTTCTACCGGAATAGGTCCGATCACAATATCGATCGATATTGTAACGAAAAGAAAAAATCCTTTCAACATTTACATTTATTCCTTTTTTAATTCTTACATGGTTCAATGAAACTAAAGTTCCTTCAAAATTAAGAAGTGATAAAAATTGTTTCTTGTTCAGATTTTTTATAAGGAGTATAATGTACTGCCTGTTTCTGTAAGCAATTTGTTAGAAAGTTTGTTGAAAATGATAAACAGCTTGAAACCGCATTTATTGCCACTTTAAGATATAATGATAACATTGTTAGGGTGTAAGTGGAGTAACGTAGGGGGAAAGAATGCACCACGTGACCGAGTTACACAATGAAGTAGGAATTACTTCTTGAGAGGAAAACGTGGCCCGAATCGATTCCTTAAATGCCATAAGAATTCTGTTTTATAAAACAGTTACTTCAGAACTGAAATATATACATGGACTCCTTCATTCTGTTTTCAAAACTAAGGAGTAAAAAAAATGCTTTCATATCTTTAAAAGGGAAACCGTAGATACATTTAAACAACTCATTACAGTAAATTTGAAATGAATTTGGTGTATTCAATTTTCTTTAGTCTTTTGTTTTATTTCAGAATTTCGTTAATTAACTAGTTTATATATATAAATTTTTAATTAAAAGCCTTTCGATAAACATCTAATTAATAGTTGTATTTATGATCAGTATTTCTTGTGTAACTTCTATGTTGGCGTTTTCGAAAATTAAATTAAAGGGAAAGGTATTTTTGTTATCTGTGCATGCACAACGTTAGCTTCAATGTTTTAAAACAAGTACAACTTCAGAAAAAGGGCAGCCCCTCGGGTTTCGCTATAGAGGATATTTCTAAAATAAAGTGAAGTTACTCCATTAAAAATTACGTATCTGTATTGTTATTAAGATGCTTTAATGAAAATTTATCGGATCAATTCGAAAAATCGAACCTATTATCTTTACTGTCTATATGTAAATAAAGAAGGATATTGAAAAGAGGCAAGAGAGCCGTCTCCCTTAAAAATCCGATCCGCCCAAAAAGAAAACATTTACTTTAAACGCTGAGCGAACTTTTAAAAAGCTAATACAGTAGGTCCTACATCAGTTACGGATTCAAATTATCATTTAGATTAAAGCTGGTGGAAGAGAAA